TTAGGATACAGATTAAAACTGTTGTGCAGACTGATCACTTAAACCTGTAAATAATTTCTTTCATACAGTGAGTGCTATTGTGATGTTACCAGCACAAGTCTGTATGCAAATGGAAGCAACACATCACTGTGATTGAGACCTAACCTCAGTCTTGAAGTTAACTCATTAAAAAAAGCAGTTCATCTATTAAAAATAATATCCCAATATGGAATATCCCAAATATGAACATATTTGCTTTTTCTAAACAAATAAAAAAAATGGAAATTATTTGAAAATTTGGTTCTTCATTGGTTCATTCATTCTCTGAGTTTCTCTGGGGATAAGATCTGCTCACTTGTGACAGGTGCCCAGAACTGGCTGACTTGGGCTGACATTCTTGTCTTAGCCAGATTTTTTAGATCACTTAAACAACTTCTGCCCTGCTTTAGCTCTCCAAGAGTGGGATGCCGTTATCTCTATTCTGGAGAGTGTCTTGATCACTAGAAGGGAAGCACTACAGATAAATGTGCATTCAGTTATGGCAGAACTTACAGTTGATCCTTTTATCACGGTTCAGAGTATCATTATCAGATCTTTCAGAAACCCTTTTTTCCTTGCCTAATTTCTTGGAAATGGTGGTCCAACTTCCCCCTGCACTGTTGTTCTAATGTTTTTCGTATTTGTCTGAAGTTACCTGTTGATAGTGATCTCATCTGTTCCATCTCCAGTTTTTGGTTTCACTTTCCTGTACCACTAACTCCTGCACCCTAAAATTAGGGGCTTTAAGCAGTTTCACTTCTCTGGAGATTTGGTAGACACAAACTCTGTGTTTCATCTGCTCATCTTTATTAAGTAGTTCTGCATTCTACCATCAAACTGGCCTCAACTCCCCAGACAAGACTCTCACTGAGTAATAGGAGCCACTGAAAAAAATAAACTTCACATTATTTCAAAACTAATCCCGAGGTGTTGCAAGTTTTACAGGTCTAGCCACGGATGTGATTAACAGAGACATTCAGAGGCTCATTTGTTACACCGAGCAATTTGGAAAAAAAACATCACTTCTGAAAATCATTGAAGATGAAACAGAAAATTTGTAATCTTCACACCTGAGTGCCTTCCACAGCTGTTAATGTGTGTTACACCAACCAGTACTGTAGTAACATGTTTATTTTCTCTAAGCCATGAGTTTCTCTTATACCCAATATAAAAATCCCTTTCAAGATTCATTTTCACTGACCGGTTGAGCTCAGCTTCTCATTTGACAGCAGTTTTGCTTTTAGTTCTGCAGCGAGCTTTGCCCCATATAAAATATCTGAATTCAGCCCAACCAATGTTACAGCAGTTCATTCCTCCTTCAGAAGAAGATAAAACATGGTCAAACTCACCGTCCTGAAATATTCTGCCAAGTCATCTGGGTCCCAGGTGAGCACGTCGGAGCGGTAGGGGATGTTCCGCAGGTCCATGGTTGGTTTTCTCCCCGAGGCAGTCAGGGAGTGCTCATAGCCTTTCTGCCATGGATTCCCTCTCTCCAAGGAATTCCTTGCCCAACCTCCAGCTGTTTCTGTCAAGGAACTGTTCTGGTCAATTGAAATTATGTTGTGAGTTTGTTCCAGAGCGACACTGCTTCCTCTTGTACAAAATGGTCTCTTCTCAGAAAAGTTTCAGCTAGTCAGCCTTACCACTTCCTTTCTCTGCATATAAATAAGTAAACAAGGAAGCACAGCAGAGGGTTGAAAATGCTCTGCCTGCTATATAGAAGTGCCTATGGACCCTAATTGCTTGTAGTAGCGCACATAAATATTTATGTATTTACTCACATTATACATGTATAAAAATATTGTCATCTTATCTGTACAGGTGTGGGTAACTCTTCTGTGCAAGTCCAACCCAGGTAAGCCCCCTCAAAGAAGAAAACATCCACTTAAGAGAAACTTCCTTCATTTATCTCAGCACCTGAAATATCCTTCTTTGTACAATTAAAGGTTATTGTCAGAGCTGTTCATATTGAAGAACTAATGAAGTAACAGTGGAACTATAGTCAGCATCCCTTCAAATAAGGAATCACTCGGTGAAACTAAGAAATGTACAAGTTTAGATGAAAAATTATTATGTTGCCATCAAATCAATAGTTCATTTTTTGGCTACTTCTTCCAAGGATTTTTGTATCTGAAAAAGAATCCACAAAACCATATTATTACCACAGGGACATGATAAACTTTCATCTGTCCTGCATAACCAATTCAGGCACTCTCCTATCAGCAGGTCCCTTTGCTGAGATTCCATTGAGTAATTCCAAGTATGTCTGTTTTTCAAAAACAGCCAGCGTGTCCATTCTCGCTTTTCTTGTTGTGGAACCTCCTCCCAAAGCTGTGCTGCTATGAATCCTTGGGCTCACTCCTCCATTAGACTGCACAAAAGGTGGTAATTTCTGAGTTTTCTGGACTAGTAAGAATAGATGCATATTCTGAAGCACTGGGAAGGAAAAGTTCCTCTTCTTTTTATGGAGAAATGCATCCCTCGTCTCCAGTCACTGACGACCTCGTGTCTGCAATCTGCAGGTGTGCTGCATGTGAGTGCATGTATTTGTGGTTAAACTTACAGATCTTCACAGGAAGAGCTTTCCTTTTGAAATTCATGATTTAGAGTAGCTTACTTTTTTCTGGAGAAATTCTGGTAAATGATGGCAGCATGGTATTTAAAACTCTCTGAAATGAAACGGCTGCCACAGCTGTTCTAAGCAGAGCACCATTTACCAAGTGCATGCTACAGCTGTGTTTTCTGGATTCTTGCTTAAAATTACCTGTGTGAATCATCTTAGGCATGTCCTGACAGTATCACAGAAATATTATAACCTCTAGGTCTGGGGATGAAATAGGACCAAATGAACTGGTGACAGAGAATCCCCAAAGGAAAACTTGCTTTGCTGGTATATTGTCAGCAGTGGTAAAGGGGAGGTTACATAACTGCACCTCAAACATCCCATCACACCCCCTGGATTTCACAGGGAAACAAGCAGGGAGACAGGAAGAAGGCTGTGTCAATTTTCTCATTGCTTTTATTGATGATGTGTTTCATTACCTTCTAATCTGGTTTCTATCCCAAACCCAGTGTAGCAGATCTAATTGCAATTGTGTGACTCCTTATTTGTACTAATATGAAATTAATTAGTCTGGTCAAAATTTATGCTGGTGGTGTTATAGGAGAATTACAGTACCATTTGTTCTGATGCTGAGAAAGGAGGAAATCGATCTCCCAGTCTCAAGAGCAGCTAACACAGAAATTCTAACACATCTATCTATTATTATTTCCTTGCATCCTGCCCATGGCACTGAGTACATCATAGCTACGTGCAGATTTCATGCATTTTTTGCAAAACCCATCTGCACACAAACTTGGGCTCTGTCTTTATCTACAACTTCTGTAATATCATAAACACATCGGATGTGGTGCCCCAGTGAGGCTTGCTGAGGAAACACTACTTTGTATTTTCTATATTTGAATTTTCAGATACAGTCCTACAGCAGCTGGCAATCACATAAAATGGATTTTAAACTCTTGGATTTTCAAAAGCTGAGAAACACTGACTTTACTGCTATTATCAGATATGCATATCTTCTTATTGAGACTTTTTTTTCCCCTCTTTTTAAAGAACTTAAAGATGTTTCATAGGTATTTTATAGCCTGCAGTGACACAACCTTCACCCAAAAAAAGTGTCTCAGTAACAGCTGCCAGTGGTAAATTCTTTCTGCTGCAATGATGATCTGGTGATTGATGTTTGAAAATGTGAGACTAAAACCATTTTAGGCAATACAGGGAGGAAATTCACACTGCCTTCAAAGAGCAGCAACGTTTTCCATTTTCTCCCACCTCTCTCTGTGGTCTTCTGTCCCTGCTTTAAGTGGAGTCAAGAGCCTACTTTGAACCACTTTCAGAAGGGTTTATTTTTCTAGAGTAGCTCAAGTTAACATGTCCATATCCCTAGAGCCAAACCAAAAAAAAAAGTTCAAACCTTTTTTAATGTAAGAATTTCATCTTCATGTTCAGCTCACTCCCAAAGTGAAGTGGATCCTTATGGACTGGTTTTCTTTTCTCCTGCCCAAATTTGTTTTTAAAAGACTGGGGTAGGTTTTTCCTTTTACCCTGGAAATTTTTATCCTATATAGCCTGTAGTTCCATTTTTAACAAGACATGCCCAATTCCCAGGCTGTATTACCTACCCATAACTGTGAGAGACTGAAATGTCAGTGTTAATTTGGTGCTTTGCTGAGGCCAGACCAAAGGGAGGGAGAGGTTTTGGATGTGTGCTGGACAAACCTCTGTTCATAAGAACAGCCCTGGTGCCTTGGAGGTTCAGATTTGTTCTGAAATTTCAGATATTTTAATCACCCACCTCAGGAGGATGAGCACAACAAAGTGACCTTTGCTTAGCAACAAGCTGGGTTCAGAGCCAGATAAGGGAGATAAGGCAAGCAGACCCTGTGAGGTATGGTATAAATAATGCTGGTTTTACCATGTCAGTGTCCTCCCTTCCACACCTGGCTCAGGTGTAAAACTCCCCCCTGGAGAAAATATCAGGAAATTCATATTCACACCTAGATCAATTTGAAAAATAAATTTGCAGGAATGGAACTTCGAGGCTTCTTCCCCACCAGCCCCACAGTGGTGACTGTCAGGTGCAAGAGCAGGGATGGATGGACCCTGAATATGACACTTTAATGGGAACAGCACCTGAGGTAAATGCTAACCAACCTACCTGCCTCTGGAATGTATGGCTTGAATAAAACTGAGACACTGGCTTCAAATTCAATTTCACACAAAGCAAACAAACAAAAAGAAGTGTTATCTATAGGAACTCAACCCTCAGCAAAGATTTTCCTGGATGGAAAAAAAAATACATCAATTGTGTTACACTGAGCAGGTGTCAAGATGGAGTTTAGGCGATTTGAAAAGGCCAGAAATCCTAAAATACAGCCATGGTAGTGATGTGCCTCTGCCCAGGGAGGCAAAGATTTAGTTTCAGATAAGCATTGTTAAAGTGAGAGGCATGGCTTTGAAGCCCAGGAGGAGTAAATTCCACCTTCTTCCCGAGGGAGTGTGCCGTGTGAGCCTGGGAAGAGTTGTCCCACCCCAGACCCTCGTGGGGTATCAGCCCAGGGTGTTGTGAGTGCTTTGTGCCCCTGGGGTTTCTTCTTTTCTATGTTCCTATTTGTCCCCGACCTTAAACTCCACCCCAGCTCTGCCGCACAAAACCCACCACTCTGCCTCTGTTCTGCATTCTGTCTCTTGAGTTTAAGCTGAGTTTGTTCCGGTGTTGAATAAATGGTTTCTGGAGATTAACCAAGCAGAGACTCGTCCCACTGAGTCCCATGTTGGTCACCAGAATCCAGAACCTCCCTGGACTTGATCCTGCAGCTGCAGAATGCAGCACTGTGGAGTGCTAAAGTCCTGTAAAAAATAAGGCAAGTACTTAGAGATATTCTAGCAAGAGAAGTTTTCTTGGTTTACATGTTTTATTCCACTCTGTTTGGGTCATATGTGACATAATGTGTCTTGTTAGTCCAGAAATGCTGCAAACAAATGCAGAGAGCACTTAGACCTCTACTGAGGAAAGACTGAAAAAAATGCTTTCTAAGTCTGAGAAAGGGAAGTTGGAGATGAGGGAAGGAAAAAAGGAGATAAACTTTGTGATTTTGGGTGATAGCAGTCAGTTATTCTCATAACCTGTGAAGGACTCTGCTACCAAGAAAAGCTGCTGCAGGTTTGAGAAGGAGGAAATGGGGACAGAACTCTCCTCCAGTATTTGGGCTGCTCAGGGCAGTTCAGCAGATCAGTTCAGGAGCTGCTAAACAGGATCAGCTGTACTGTGACACAAAAGGGGCAAAAAGAACACGTGGGAATGATGTTCTGTTTTGGACATGACCCTTCTGTACTAACAGTGTCTTCCAGGTACAGAACTCTGCCAGTGAACACACCAGTTTTGTACCTGAGGTCACCAGTGTGACAGAGACATTGGAGCTTAAGGTAAAGATGAAGCAAGTTAAAAACACCCTTTAGTCTGGGCTAACTGCTCAAACCCTTTCCACCTGTGCTGTCAAAAAGCACAGATTTCCTCCCCCAGCTCCAGGCCAGCCTGCTGCCCAGGGGAGCTGCCAAGACCTTGGCTCTGCAAGGCTCCAGTTACCCCAAAGGCTTTTTCCCACCTGCCCAGCTCCCTTTTGCCTTTACAGCTCCTGCTCTGGCTCCCACCCGATCCCTGTCCCCTCTGCACCACTGCAGGATTGGGCTGTGCTGGGAACCCTCCCAGCTCGACTGGAAACCAGAGGCTGTGGGAGCTGCTGTCCCTGGATGGAGCTGGAGCCTGAGGAATTCCCATTCAGTGCTTCCGTAACAGGCTCTCCATTTGCTTTGCCTTCTTTTGGGTTTTGGTATGGTGTGGTTTGGGGGTTTTGGTACAGGTTTATTAAAAAAAACAAAAATTATTCTCTTTCAGCAGCGATGCCAGAACAAAAGTTATGTTTTTTGTTTCATTTAAGCTTTTTAAACAGCAGTATTTCAAGTCTATCCAACTATTGTGACAGCTAAAGATATGATTTTATTTTTTTAACTCAACCCATTTTTCTATTTTAATCAAATGAACTATTGACATCCATTAACAGTTTATTGGCTCTGAGTTTCTAAGTGATCTCCTTTTATTCAGTCGGGCAATTGTTTGCTAACCTAAACAATGCTACTTTGTAACTTTAATTCTATAGAAACTTGCAGAGTTTATACTGTAAACTGGTTGCCAACGTGGGATTTGAGTCGTTGTTGCAGTTGAAATGTTCCTGTCCATACACAATCTCAGAACTGGATTCTGATCCTAATACATTTCCAATTCTCTAAATATTTCAACAGCTTGCTGACCAGTGAGAAAAGCACTTGTGATTTTGCAATGCTGTGAAAAATAAAAAACTTCTATAACTTTTCCACTAACATATATTCATTTCAGACCTTCTCAGGTTTTGTCAATCCTGAAAGTTTTCAAGAGTGAATTTCACAGACCAGAAAATAGACAGGTGACTTGAAGAAAAATGCTGCTAGCCACCATCATCTTGTGTATAGTTTTGTTTTTAATGTCAGTTTTGTTTTCAATCTCTGTGTTCCTCTCTATGACTGCCTTAGAGTTTCCAAGGAGCTGAATTGTTGAACACACCTTGCTTTTCAACTTTTCATTGTTATCTTCAAAATACAGTGTATTCATAAGAGGCATTTTTTTTTTCCTTATAAAGAAGAATGTTGCATATATTTTAAGTTGTACACATGTATTGTACTATGAGTGGATTTAAGACAATTCCTTTTATCCCCTGGCTTATTATGGAGGAGAGCCAGCACAGGTCAAAAGTCCATTGGAGCAGTCCTGATCTGTCAGGTCTTTTCTCTGAGATGTGGATTAAATTAACAGCAGAGTAGGATCTCACCTCGATTGTACTTTCTATTCACATAAGGGAATAACTGCAGCTGCTGTTTTCCAGAAAAATGTCAGAGGATTAAAATGGATAAAAAATATATTAATGTTTTTCTCTTTTATCTCCATCCAACAAATAAAATTTGAGATTGTGTAGGAGAGAAAATTCAATCTCATTTTGCCATCTAGTGGCAACACTTTGCCTTGCTGAGATGCATTTCAGAAAAGCAAGTTGATGTTAGCTAGAGGTGGGTATGAGTTACTAATTCTTTGGAAAACTCAGTCATTTTTCTACTTAAAATATTAAGAAGCCTAGTTACATTTTATAGCAGCACTGCACAAATAGGCACATTGCTAAAGTGAATTTCCATTTGCAGGTGAGCAGAACCTATTTCATTAATCCAGTGTTTTGTCATGTCTTTATGAATCTGGCTCACTAGTGACTTTTTTACCTTGGATATGAATCATTAACTTCCCTTTCTACTTGCTCTTGGATTTTTACCAAGACAATGGTACAGCCAAGCAGTTTAGAAATATAAAGGACAGCTCAAGGCAGACTGGCTGGACAAGTTATTTCTTCCTTCCTAAGGAGAAAACCCAAAACTTTTTAACTTATTTTTTTTTATTATTTTTAATCATTATAATTTTGTATTAATTTTCTGTTTCTTTGCTATGATTTTTTGTGTGTGTCTGCATTTCAAGGTTTTTAGTAATATTTCTTTTTCCTCTTCCCACAGTTTGGTGAGATACTGCTCATTATCTGGACCTGCAAGATGATATGCTTTTGGGACCTTAGGGAATAAGTGAGTATAGCCTGGTAAGTGACAATGCTGTGGAGGGTTTGGAATTATTCTTTGAGGTTTGGACCAGGGGGGCTGCATTCTTCTGTGCCAGAAGTGCTGAGCTGCCACAGCAGGAGTAACCTGAGTTTTTGTTAATAGATCCATTGGGGAGCATTAGAGGTGAAATGATACTGAATGAGCAGTGTTTGTAAATAAAAATATGTAGGGTCTATTTCAGAACCATTTAGAAGCAGTGGAAAGCAGAGATGTAGCCATTCCAGTTATTATCTATAGTAATGCAACAATATAAAAGCATAGGAATAACAGGTAAGAAAATGTATTAGAAAGAAGAGGGAAGGGTAAGAGTAGAAAGATCTCACCACCCATGGATGCAGTAACTAGACTTGACTGAAGAGACTTGATTATTCCAATTTTGAAGTCTGGTGGTCTGAGTGATGGTCACAATCTTGGTCCATCAGGGGTGGGGGAAAGCCCAGGAAACACCAGTGTCAGTGGGTTGATACACATTTAGATTTAGACACAACACATGGCTACCTCCCCTGGGGAGGGGAATTTTGCACTGTCTGAAGGGTCTTTGATGCTTTATGACCCCTTTAAATCATGACCCTGCCTCTCACTTGAGCAAAGTTGAGCCAGTTATTCCCCATGAGAAGGGATAAAAGCCCTCAGTCCCAAGTGGGTGAATGTCCCATGTGAATGTCACTCTTCTTTGGGGCAGGGGGAGGACACTGGCATGAAAACAAGCACCATGGTCTGTCTGGCCTTCTCCCTCATCTGGCTCAAACCCCAGAGCCTCTGGTGGTGGGTGTGCACCCCCTCTGTCCCATGCAGATCAGGTTTTGAGCCACCAGAAGAACCAAATACATTGGTTTGGATGGCATGAAGACAAGTCAAAGGTTAAAACCAAGCAAAAGAACATATAAACTCAAAGGAAAGTGTGAATATGTAGAAACTTTTATGAATATGCATGTACCCCTGAAATGTAATAGTATATAAAACATGTTGTTTAAGCTAAGGATGTGCTTCTGGCAGATAGCCAATGTCAGGAAAACTAATCCACAAACACCAGAGGTTTATGCCCAAAAAGGAAACAGAGGAATCCTTCTACTTTATTCGAATAAAGGGAGAAGCCCCTGGGGTCTTTCAAATTTTTGGATGACGAAGCCTCCTTTTTATCCCAATTTCCCGGTCGCATTTCCCTCTTTCCCCATTGTCTGAGGTACTTGAGAGGTCCAGACTTCCCGGAATGCCTGATACCTGAGATTCCCCTCTAATGTATAACCCTCCCTTTTAATTTTTAATTCTTATGGAATTTATGGGGTTTTTTCCCCATTGTTTCCTTCATCTTTCAATATCCAATTTCATTTATCAGCAATCCTACAGTCTGTTTATAAAGGCAAGTATTTTTTTTCCATTTTCCCATTGTTTATCTCTCAGTGCTAGTTTTATCTACCCACGGCTTGTTTGTAAAGACAAGCCCATCATTCCTCTCAGCAAGCACCCCAGCGCCGCATTTTATCCATTATTAAAACTTTAAAATTGTGTAGAGTGGGTTTTGTTTTCCGCGGTCCGGGGTGGAGCGGGGCGGGGGGCGGAGCTGCCTTTTCCCCCGGCCGGGCCGAGGGAAGGGCAGAGAGCTCCGGAGCGGCGCCGATGCAGCGGCAGGTGAGCGCTGTGGGGACGCGGGGCAGCCCCGGGCGGAGGAGCGGAGCCCTGGAGCCGTGCTCACCTCAGGGATCCTTTCCCGTGGGGAGGGGACAGCCACGGCCCCGGCTGGGAGCACAGGCAGGGCTGGCCGCTCCGCCGGGCTCCCCGGGGCCGGGGGTGCGCGGAACCCCCGCTCGCAGCACCGGGGGCAGCGCTGAGAGCCGGCTCCTGCCTCCCCACACAGCCCAGGCACCCCTCGGGCCGCTTCCCTGGGCTGGGACCCATCGCGGGAGCCACGGGGCCGGGCCACGAGGCTCTGGGGAGCGAATGGGGCTGGGCTTCTATCCCGCTTTGCGCTTCCCGCGCTCATCATAACTTGGTTTTTAATCTTCGTGAAAGATGAAACCCCTTGGAGGTGGAGATGCCATCTGTTGGCATTCGCTATTAGCTGGAGAACTTTTTACCTCGGTCCTTTCCCGCTGAGGTATCTGATAAGAACCATTGGCTAGCTCCTAATGCTGATTAGGAAGGTCCTAATGGATCTTTCAGTTGATACAAATCACTTGTTGCCGAGTTTCTTTCGTTTGCTAGGACTCCGGCACCCATACATAGTGCTCCCAATTCTGTCCCCAGCACAGCTCCTCCTGTCCCCGTGATGGTTTTGGAGGGGTCAGGCTCTGGCCGTGCAGCCCTGCCCACCACCGTGCACAGGGACTAGACACAAGTGGCAGCTTTCATTGCAGAGATACTGACCTGCATTGTTAACTCCACTGCTTTGAGAATCGCTTAAACAAATTAAATGGCACCTGTTTGGGCTGGTATATTTGATGGCATAGCGTCCACTTTTAGAAATTTGTGGAGATAAGATTTCACCGATCTTATCAGGAGCCTGGGAGATAGTGAAATGCATTGCGAGGTTTAAATTCGTTTTTGTCGTGCCAGAATGTATTACTCACAGTTGTGGATATATCTCCACTAAAACTTCCCTTTCATATTTTGTGTCAATATTGGAAGCTGAGTAAATGAATTTCCCCCTTTTTAGTTGAAAGTTGTGCTTCACATATTACGGTTATATTTCCCTCTGCCAAATTCACGTTGTTATGCTGAGCTCCTAAATTTGTACAATTATGGCTTATTCGTTAACAATGGTCATTGAAATGCACAATTACATTTTACAGCCATTACCACAGTGACCATTAGAGATGGAAAACTTGAAGGTTCCCATCCAGTGGGTCAGGTTTGGTGATTTATGTCTGATTCATTCTGGTGCTGATTCCTTCAGTGAGGAGAATAAGCAGTCCTTCAATGGATAATTTGATATTTAGTGGAAATAGTGCTGGCATCATTTCTTTTCTGAAAAAGTAAAATAATACAAGTCTTGGCGGGGTTTGTTATTATCACACTAAAACCAGGAAAAAGCTACCTTGCACTAAATCTTTTTTTTTTTTTTTTTCCACTGCTATCCTTCGTTTCCGAAGTGTGCCCGGAGAGTCAGTTAGTTTTAAATTAAATTTAAATTAATTTAAAATAGGTAATTTTAATTTATGTGACTTTTACTGGAACAGGTGGTCCTGATTGTAAAGTGGCAAATGTTCCCCTTGAATGGAAGGTGAATCACCTCACTCAGGGTTTGCATAAAGTGCTCGTGCAGGACACAGACAATATTTAACTCGTGTAAAGTACCCTGAGTATCCCCGGCTGTGTGTATGGCTTTTCTATAGGCCATTAGCTCATGCTTCCATTTGACTGGGGCAATTTGGGGTGTGGAAAACCCATTGAATTCTGCCTTCCTGGCCCATTTGTACCTATTCTATGGAATATATGAGTCACTGCTCAGACTAGAGGTGATTTTCCCATTCAGAAGATCTCTGTTCTGTCTCCTGAAATGCAGTCAAACTAAACAATGAAAATAGCATTGCTCAGGGCCAATTTGAAGCAAATTGGTAAAAACCCATCCTGCTGTAACCAGATGTTGGGAGTGTACTGCTCCTGTTGGAAATGATACAGCTTTTAAATTTTTTTATTAACTTTACTCAGGGGTTTCTTTCATCATTGCCCCGGGGGAGGAGAACGGCAATTTTTGGAATTCTTGAAAATCATTCTTGATTATATAATTCTTTCCACTCCTGTTTTCTTGGTGGACGACCTGTAAATCCTAGTTCTAGGGAACGGTCAATTAGTCTGATATTACATGTAGAATTCTTGGTATCACCATGAAAATTACTCCATCCCACATCTCACTAATATGGGTGAGATGTGGGGTGGAGTGAATTTCACGGAGATACTAAAATTCCATGCAATTAGTGTTGCTCAGGTGGGGATTTTCCTGTGTTCTAAAATTTCAGTAACACTCCTGGCCAATTGTTCGTTAAAGGCTGCGCCTTTTCTAATTTCATCTCTTTTTGTAACAAGACTTCAGGAGATGAAGTAAATTTTCTAATCTGCACAATGTCAGGAGCACTTGGAGCCCGCATAAGCATTAGCTAAGCTTTCTCCTCCAACTTCTGTTTTCCTTTCTGTCCTCCTGTAACTGCCCCAGCTGCTGTTCTGTTTTCAAGGACAGTAATAACTCAGCTGCTTTCCAGTTGTCAGTTCTTGTTACTCTTTAATATTTTATTTACTGGAAGGCAACCTTCCCCTACCCCAGGTTGCTCCAACCTGGCCTTGAACACTTCCAGGGATGGGGCAGCCACAGCTTCTCTGGGCAATCTCTGCCAATACCTCACCAGCTTCACAGGGATGATTTTCTTCCCAATATTCAATGTAACCCACTGTCTTTAAAGCTGTCGTGATGTACTGGGTCACCTTGGCTCTGTGCTCCAGCTCCCTCTTGTGGCACCAGGCAGCTGCTGCCTGTGCTTTGGCTTTCCAAGCCTTGCAGGGCCGTAGGAGACTTGAAAAAGAGTTGTTGACTTTGGGCTCTAACAAAGTTGCTAGACTTAGAGTTAAGTCAGGTGGAACAGGCTCAGACAGTGCTTGGGATGGGAGTGTCAGGAGGCTCCTCAGGTTCCCTGAGAGCAGCGGGGTTCCTGTGCCCCTCCACAATGCTGCCTGGCAGTGGATCTGGCAGTTCCCTCGTGGGGTTGGGATGCTCCCAGCTGGGAGGCTGAAAGCTCATTGCTCACACAGTCACCACCGTCATCTCCTCCTTCAGATGTGGAGCAGTGGAATCAACGAGGCCGGTAAGATGGCCCTGCTCGCCTGGGAGAAGGAGACCGGCATCGAGCTGGTGCAAATCAACGGGCAGAGGTACTACGGAGGGCCCCCCCCAGGTACGTCAGGAGAGCAGCTCGGCCGCGGCGCCCCGGCAGCGCGGCAGGGCTCGCCACATCCCCGTGTCCCCGCAGGCTGGGTGGGCGGCCCGCCGCCGGTCGGCACCGAGGTGTACATTGCCAGGCTGCCGCAGGACGTCTACGAGAACACCCTGATCCCGCTCTTCGAGAGCGTGGGGAAGCTCTACGAGTTCCGCCTCATGCTGACCTTCAGCGGGCTCAACCGCGGCTTCGCCTACGCCAGGTACGCGTCCTGGCAGTGCGCCCGCAGCGCCATCGCCACCTTCCACCGCTTCCAGCTGCGCGAGGGCTGCGCCATCGTGGTGTGCTGGAGCACGCAGAAGCGTGAGCTCCTCATGAACGGCCTGGCTGCATCGGTGAGCCAGCAGGAGCTGGAGGCCAGGCTGCAGGAGGTCACTGAGGGGATCTGCAGTGTCACCCTGTACGCCAGCCCCCGCCAGAGACAGGCCAAGCTCGCTGTGCTGAAGTACAGGTCGCACAAGACTGCTGCCCAGGCCAAGAAAGTCCTGATGGAAGGTGAGTGGTGCTGAGGGATGCTGCTTGGGCTGGTCTTCCTGGTGTCTTGCACCTCCAGGCTTGGCTGAAAGGTGACTTCAGCCTTGAGACACCCCTTGCTCTCCCTGTGTCCTGTGGGATGCCAGCTGCCCTTAGTGCAGTTGATTTCCAGCAGTCCTGCTGGTGATGGAATGAAGGGACTGCTGGAGGTTTCCAGGAAGCTGCCTAGTCAGAGCAGAAGTATCACCAGTACCAGTTCAGGGCATCCAGAACATTAACCAAGTTATTAAACCTTTCCTGAGCTGCCCAACCCCTCAGTGTCCCTGAAACTCACCTGATGTAGCTGCTCAGTCCCTCTGAGCCCCATCCCATGATTGCAATGCCCTGATGTGACACACTTGCCAGACATCCAACTGGGACCTCCAAAGTACTGGTTTGTACCCATTCATGCCCCAGCTGAGAGGAGCATTTGGCTTTGGTATCTGTTCGCCTTGGCCCTAAATTCAAGCTGCCCCTAAAATCCTGAAGATCACTGTAAAGGATGGGATGCAATGGGATGGAATGGTGCTGGAGCATCTCCTGTCTCCTAGGGAATCTGAGGCTTGGGGAAGCAGGGATGAAGGTGGACTGGCTGGACCCCCGACTGAAGCAGAAGCTGCAGCTCTGTGAGGAGGAGCCATCGTCCAGCTGGGTGCAGGGAGGCAAGAGCCTGGAAGTGCCCAGGCTGACAGCCCTGCCTCTGTCGCTGCAGAACGTGCTGGAACACCTGAACATGGTGTGCTGGAAGCATCGCCTGAGGACACCCCTGTTCATCATCAGGTGTGTCCAGGTGAACCCCAATGGGTGGCAGCGGTTCTGGTACCAGGTGGTGATCCCGGATTACCACGTGTCCATCAGTGGCTTCACTTGGGTCTTGCCAGACAGGCAGGGCCAGAGTGAGCATGAGAAGGCCAAGATGGCAGCAGCCCTGCACACTCTCAAGGTATTAGGTGAGTCCTTGGTAAGTCCTTGCATAGACAACTCCTTGTCTTTCCCAAAGTCTTGAAGAGTCTCGTGGGGATTGGAGCTGCGGCACTTCTGGGGCAGGGAGGGACCCAAGCTGGCAGGCAGGGCTGAAACACTGTCACCTCAGAGCTGTGGGTGGGATTCCTGTTTGGAAGCACAGGATGCAAGAGGAAGAGGGTTTGGGGGTAGGGCCTGACGCTTCCCTCTCCACTGCAGGGTGCCAGCTGACCTAGGAAACTGCTCTGCCAGAGCCACGATTGAGCCTGAGCCCTGCTGGGGTCCTGGCCCTGTTCCAGCTTCCCTTCAGGTTGTTTGCATCGGTTTGCAATGGCTGCTGTCCTCGTTCCTGGGCAGCCCTTGAGTTGGTTCAAGTTTTGGGTTGTTGGTTTTTCTGCCAAGTTTGGCTTCTGTTAAGCTGGTTTGTGTTGCGTTGGAGGGGCAGATCCTGGAGAAGCAGCAGCTCTTGGAGGGGCTGCCAGCACTGGGTGCCAGTGTGATGGAATTCCTCCACTGGCACGGCTGGTTCCTGAGGAACAGCCTTGGGGGAGGACAAGGCCACACACAGGGAGTGTCCCAGTGGTCTGGAGGAGCTGCTGTGTGGCGAGAGGAGTGCCTGTAACCTGTTTGCATAGTGAGGAAGCAGCTGTCCATGAATGTCCAAGCAGTGTTACCAGCTGTCCATGAATGATTCCTCAGGAGTGGGAGGTTAGGTCATATGTTCTTTTGAGATTAAAGAGTTCTGGAAAGCACCGGCTGTGTCACATCATCTTTTCCTCCTGTATCCTCAGCTCCCTGTCAAGTGCATCTCTCCACACACCAGGAAAGGCAATTGGAAGGGACAGGGTGGGATTTGGTGCCTTCAGAGCCTGGTAGGCCCACTGTGTGAGAAGCAGCATTCCCTGGCACCTTGATCTTCATTGTCTTCTACTCACTGGGCTCTTTCTGGCCAGCTTTTGATACCCCTCAGGCTCCTCTTGAGTGCTTTCTCATGTCCTCCCCAGTGAACCTCTGTGACATCCGGTAACACCTTGCTGGCAGTTAGGGTTTTTCCTTTTGCTTCTCTCTGTCTTGGGGAATTATCCCCCATTTTTGTTGCTAAGGAACAATAACCACTCCAAGGGAGGCTGCTGCCTTCCTTAGCAGGCACCTACCTGTCTTTCAAACCAAGACACCCTTTTATGCTCTCCAGGGACTCCAGGTGTCTCAGCTCCAGGAATGCCTCTGGCCATGTCCCAGCAGGTGCAGCACAAACCTGGGGGCTGCAGTTGGTGCTCCAAGGCGTCCCAGGCAATGCTGGGAATTAGCTGAGGGATGTGAGCCACAGCCAGGAGTAGAAATCCTGGCAGAACTGCCCCAGATCCTCCCTGTTGGCCAGCAGGTGCAGGGGGTCCTGCAGGGGCCTTGGCTGCAGTGTCCAGCAATATCTGACACTGTTCCAGGCCCTGCAGCCACTGCCCACTCTGCTCATCCCCAGGGAAGAACCTAGGACCTCCTATCCCAGGAGCGATCCCTGCCCCCCTCTCCCCCTCATGGCACACTGTGATGCACATCTGGACCTACCAAGTCCTTTTAGCAGCACCCAAATCCCATCCCTCTCCTTTTTGGAGATCCCCAGGATCCTCCAAGAGTCTTTTGGTACACTCTTTTAAGTTCTTTTTTGTACTCCCTGAAAGTCTGTCTGTCCCTCTTGGGGCAATCCAGGAGTCCTTGCCTCATCCTGAGCCAAACCATCAGCACAAGGCACTGGGAAATGAAAGGCACTGGGTTTATTTCTAACAGAGCTTAAGTCTTAACAACAAAATAAACCAATTAATAAACAAATTGACCTGCTGGGCCAGCAGGGCAGGAAAGCAATGAATCTGTGTGGCCTGGCCAGGCACCCCCAGACCCCATGTCACCCCCTCACCCCTCCTGAGAACTTTCCTGTCTCCCCCCACCCCAGGACCCCCAATACACCAGCAAACCCCAGCATTACCCCCTGCATCCCCCACCGGAGCCCCCAGCTAGAGGGTGAGGGTTACGTGCCCCCGTCTCAGAGCCACTCCCCATCCATCAAGGACCCCAGTCAGGGACCCTTCCCAGTCCCTCCCCAACCCCAGCCTGTGTCCCCAGCCCGGGGCCACCCCC